AAAGATATTAGCACATTATCATTCTAACAAAAAAACATATATCAAGTTATGTGTAAGCAATGGAAAGAGTTGCCTTTTCTCCTTTATCATGACTTTCTGAACTTTTGTATAAATTTTCAACACTGAGCATGTATAATCAAGAAATATGATACTCTTGAAAACATATTGTCAGGGCCGACAGGTGGTGTGGTGGGTAAGGGTGCTGAACTCCCATGTGGCCAACTGTGGTTCAAGTCCCAGATCTGGAAGCTTTCTTTCTCATTTTCCTTCTCTCTCACTCTCTCGTCCTGCTCCTCTCTGGTCAAATTAAAATAAATAAATAAAGTTAAATAAAACGATTCTTTAAAAAAAAAAAAAACTTATTGTAAGCCACGGTTTGTTTCCACAGTGCCTTTGTTCTTATACATGTGATCATGTGTCCCTCCACAGACGGACTCCCTCTCTGGGTCTGTTGCTGGACAGAAGTCACCTCATGATCTAAGAATGTAGCAATTGAAGCAAAGCTAATGATGTTCTCTCTCCTGGAATCACTGTTAAATGACAGAAGAATGTTTCTAAGCCCAAGCCATCTACTGAACTTATTTAATAAACCAGTGAAAAGATTTGCTTGCTTTTTGTGAAGACCAAGCTACCAATTGAGAAACTGAAAATCTCCCTTTCAGCCAGTTATTTCAGCTTTCAGACAGCTCCTCAGTCTCCTTAGACACAGAGGATGGAGTACTTTTACGCTCACCCTTATGAGGGTGTTAGTACAAGGCCATGGTGTGTGGTGAAGGGCCAGTGGTAATAGCCCCATTTAAACAATAGAAAGATTCCTTGCATAGAGAAGATCTATTATTGGGAGAAGTTGGGAATGATATCGGGTAGGTGAAAATAACTATCTGTTAATAGAGTGAAACAAAATGATTACTAATGGAACAATTACAAAAGGCTAGCAGGTTGGGTAGCCATAATGTAACTCTCGGCAAGACTAGACCTACATGGGGAGATTCCAGGTTCATTGCCTGGGACCTCCTTGTACATCCTAGGTTTGTTCACAAGTGTCTAAGATATGAGGGTGGGGGTGGGGGTAAATGGCAAATTGCAGTGTGGGGATCCTATTGGAGGTGCCTATCTTTCATTCTTCACCCCATCCCTTCTCCCCCTGCTTTTGTGGAAGAAATGAAGAAACTTTATCAAAAAAGGACAAACGAGAGAATAATTATAAAAATATTAAAACTCTATTAAAATTCTATTATGACATCCAGCCAAATGAATTGGATCTTCCCCAGCAAAGTAGTGCAGCAACTGCAGTAGAGATCTGTGGGCTGTTCTGTCCAAGAGCATTCTCTGGTTCTACCCTGTGCGTAGGTTTTTAACAAGAATTGCAGTGAGTAGAGACTTTGCTGTATAGCCCAGAAGTTGCTTACAGGGGCAGGTAAAGGTTGAAAATGAGGAACAAATAAAACTGTCAAAATGTGATTTTAATAGCTCTTAATGCTTTTACATAATATTAAGCTGGCTAGCAAGAGCATAATAAAAAAGAGATTTTTAGCACTTTTCTCTTCAAATGCTATTTAAATCTCATTAGGCAGATCTTTGTGAAATGATGACACTGGCAATAATGATTCCTTTTTAATTTTCCAATTGTTTTGGCCACTGTGAAGGCCTTGGGGTAAACATTATCATTTAGCTGATCAGTGTTAGCAAGGACTGTGGGGAATCAATCTAAATTGTAAGACTTTTTTATCCCCCCAACTCAATTTGGTAGGCAAAGTCAAATTTGATAGTGCTTAGTTTTGCCAGATTATTTTGCTTGTTTCATCATTAACTGGTAAATAAGAGTTTTTCCCCTAAACTGAAATGTCAGTGTATTGGTCCTGGAGCTAGGATATGTGCAATATAAAATGTTGGCATGTATTTGAAGGACATAAGGACATTAGGCAAATTGACTGGCAAATTGGGTATGGGAAGCAATGGAGCCATCCTCCATGACTGAGACATGGTTCCTTCTAATTTATTATTATTATTGTTTTCCGATTACATGTTTTGTTATTACTTAACTCTGAGACTTAAAAGCTAAATACCTACCCTTTTAAAACAACAACAGCAACAAAACCAGTTTTTTTGAGAGATTAATTTAGCTGGGCTCTGATTCAGGTTTTTTTTTTTTAATTCATGTTTGTGTATGAATAGGATTTCAGTTCATTATTGGTGTTGCTTTTGTGAAAAAAAAAAATGAAAGAAAGTTATCTAGAGAGAAAATTTCCCAGGCTAGCCTCAACCCTATGCCATTGCCCAGTCAGAGTTTCTAGTTCCACAGGAGTATTTCTAGAAGGACCCCTGGTTATTCACTTCTCTCCCATCTCATTGTCCTTTTCATCCCCAGGGTCTGAGCCTCCTGCACATTCTGGGCTGTTGGGGTACATGCTTTTTTTAAGCTCACTTCCCTCTCCCTTGAGCTTTCTATGTTGGCGAGTTCCTAGCTTCCAAGTCTCTTTCATTCATTCTTCATGGCCTGGCTCTTGGGGACTCTCACTTCATACTACATTTTGATGGTAGTAAAAATAATGGTAAAATATAATAAAATAGAAAAAGCCATCGACTTGGTCTAGTTCAAATAACAAATATGGAATTCTGTGCTTCTAAGTCTTATTGACTCATTTCTAGACATGTTCAATTTAAAGCATGTCTAGAAATGATATATTTTTCATTATTATCCATTGTATGCTATTAAAGGAGAGAGCAAATGTGAACCTTGAAAATTTACAAGGCAACATTTCATCTATGACTCAGTAGCAGCTCACTACATTTGTGAACCTTCACAAATAGAATGTACATTTCTCACTTCCTCTAAAATATTTATGTGGTTATCAAAGTGAAAATATTCAGGGTTGGCATGTGGCATGGTGGTCAAGGGCACTGGACTTCCACATGGTTGACCACGGTTCGAGTCCCGCACCTGGCTGCTTGCTTTCTCCCTTTCTCTCTCGCTCTCTCTCTCTCTCTCTCTCTCTCTCTCTCTGTCCCTATCTTGTCAAATTAAAGAATAAAATAAATGAAGTTAAATACATAATTCTTTTTAAAAAATGAAAATCTTCATGTAAGAACTCTCAAATTAGTAGTAAATAGAATTTCCAAGCAATACAAAGGACTTCAAAAAGTTCAAGGAAAAGTGGAATTAAAGTATGAGTTTATTTTGGTGCAAGATATTTTGAAATCTATGTATAGTTTTCTCATAATACACATTTTCCATGAGCTTTTATTTTGAAGCCCCCTTATTCAATATTTATCCTTGTACTTTCCAAATGGAAAGCTTGAGTTAGCACATGCAGCTCAGATCAGCCAAAGCTCTGTTTTGAATGGCACTTGCACCTTTCAGACTCCCCTCCTGATAGAAATGTGATCCATAGCTTTCATTTCCAGCCAGTACCCCAGATATTTCTGAACTCTGTCTGTGTGGCAGAAATAAATCTACGCTGGTCAAAATTGTGTGGAAAACCCTCACATCAGAGACAAAATTCAGCATTTAGAAATTGTCAGAATGTGGAAGGCCAAAAGAAATAGGTGGGGGGACAGGAGCCACCACAGTCTCTGTTTCCCTGAATTTAATGGCATGTTTCAATCTAGGCCCAACCAGATCAGTGGAAATGAGCTATAGGTTTTCTCTTCTGGCTGGACACGAAGATCTTGCCATTGGTCTGTCTTCCTAACATATGAAGGGTCTTTATAAAGTTCATGGAAAATGTACATTATGAAAAAACTGCACAGATTTTTTTTTAATTTTTTGCAACAAAATAAACTCATATTGTAATTCTAATTTTCCATGAACTTTATGAAGTACCCTCATACATCAAACACCTTGTCACCTCAAACATCATGACCCATAGACACTGAGTTTTCTGCATAGAGACAGTCTCAGGCTATAGGGATAGTTTTTTGAAATAGTTCTAAGAATGCCCTGTACTCTATCTGGCTTTGACTGTGGGGAAAATGAACATCTGGGTAAATGGAAATACCACTGACCTGACCTGGACCATCCCAACAGCAGAGGAAGAGACCTTGTGGAGACTGTTAGAATACGTTGTTTAATTTTGTTCAGAGAAAATGGACTTTTGACAGATGAACTTTTCCCTTGGACCCATATTTATCTAAGAGAGTTGTGGTTGGAAAGTGATCCAGGATTCACAAGGTCAATAAGTGAGCTGGTTCATGTACTGTGGAGTCCTCCCATCTCTTTCCACAGCTTCCCCAGGCAGGTGGTCTGGGGAGCTGTTAGAACATTCAAAAATGGTCACTCACAGGGCATCTCAACCTCTTGAGCTTGGCCTCAGGTGCTCTGGACGCCCCAAAGCACTCAGGTCTCAATTCCAGATAATCAGTCTTCTTCTTCCATACTGTACTACACAGCTTGAAGCCATTCTAATGTGCTAGATGGCTAAACATCTTGTTATAATGAATTAGGAATTAAGGCCACAGGTAAATTTAAACTATCATAATGCACTAGATTTTTTAAATACCTGTCTTCATGAGAAAGTTAATTTTTATAGGCTACCCAATTATAGCTTTTCTTTCATTGTCCCAGGAGTGAAAGAATAAAGAAATGTTGAACAAATGTTCTTAGCTTTACCTTTGAAACTATAAAAAAAAAAAATCCAATTCATGAAAAAAGGATTATAAAGAAGCAGTTCTTCTTCTCTAGCCTCCTGGTTCCCCCATGTTTAAGTAAGACATTTTTCCCTGCCTGATACTCAGCCCTTGTGTTCTGTCACCTGTGATTTTGTCATTATCCCCATATTTATGGATCAACATGAAAGATAATCTTAGTAGACATAACAAGTGCCTTTGTGAGGCCTGTTCACTTTACACCCATTTCTAGGTAGACCTACTTAAGCAGACTTACCTGGGAACAATATCGCATTGTGATAACTCACACAAAGCTTACCAGTGTCTGTTTAAGGAGGCAGAGCGCTAGTGTGTGGCTGTTGGACTCACAATTTTTCCTCTCTTGTATTTTTCAGAAATTGAGGCAAAGGAAGCATGTGACTGGCTCCGTGCTGCTGGGTTCCCACAATATGCTCAGTTATATGAAGGTATGTGAGCCTCTCCCTCAGCTCTTTATAAACAGACTAAATTCAGAATGAACTGCATGAATCTCGTGATGTGTTTTGACTTCTAGATCTTTTCTTGAGCATTTTGCTTTATTTTCTTTTTCCCTTAGCCATTGCAGTGCCCATGACTTATCCTGATACCAATTTAGACTTGAGTATTGTTTCCCTAACTCATATTACTTTCGGTATCCCACTACTAATTCTCATCTTATTACCACAAACACCAAATCTGTTTTCCTTTTCTGTAACTTTTCTGAACTATTTCCCTTATTTTTTTTTTCAGCGGCTTTTCTGAACTTTTCCCCTTATTTGTTTTTCCTTATTTTTTTTCTCTTTGCTATGCTGTTTTCTTCAAACTACAATGAATTCATAGTTGATAAATTTCCCAGAACTAACAAAATTCAGTATTTTCAGATTCCTCTTTAGTATTGTTTATCTTATATGAAAAAATGTTAAGGTATCATATGGATCAGATAGATATTAATCTTCTGAGTTTTAGATAAGGTGTAATTGGCAGCATCGTGGTTCCTTTTACTGATTCTTCGATTGGCAGGTAATAAATATACTCAGCAAAGGGGCCCAAATGGTGGCACAGAAGTAAAACACAACACTAATTCATGTGAGGGCGTTCCAAATTAGAATCCAGAGCCCTCCCTGAGTGTACTGGGTGTATGCATGGCTATGATCTGGAGCTGACTTAGACTAGGGGTAGATCTTGGTGTCAAGACTCTGTTGGGGGTGCTGTCTCTGTCTCTATGTCTTTCTCTCTGTCTCTTTCATAAAATAAATATTTTTTTAATTTAAAAATTTTTTAAATGTACTTGGAACAGCAGGTGGTGTGGTGGCTAAGGTGCTGGCCTCCCACACAGCTGACCAAGGTTCAAGTCCCAGACCTGGAGGCTTGCTTTCTCTTTCTCTCTCTCTCCCTCTCTTTCTGTATCTCTATAGTGAATGCACATAGCTTATGGCAAATTTAAAAAAATAATCATAATAAATAAAGTTAAAAAATAAACACTTATCTCTTTCTTACTTGTATCTAAAAGTATAACTAAAGCTTTGACTCTTTCTCGTGTCATCCTGTGTGTAGTGAAGTAGTCATGATTCCAACAGTAAACAGATGGCACACCTGAGATTATCAGTACAGGATTCATTTCTAATGGTGTTCATGACAAAGATCTGGGCAGGATGGAGGAAGCAGAACCGTGCACAGTACAGGAGCTTAGGGGCTAGAGCAGCAGAGATGTCACTCCCACAGGCTCAAAGGGAGATGGTACCAGAGCCCAAAGGAGAGAGGCACTTTATAACAGTGCCAGGAACGAGCACTCAGCTGGTGGTGGGCAGCACCCCTGGGAGGGAACCAGGCAATAAACACCCTGACATGCTCCTCCCTCTCCAGCTAAGATTTCCCATTGGCCAAACCCTAAAGGAGGCCAGAGGTCACAAGTCTCTCAATTGACTCTCAAAGTACAGAGCAGGAAAAGTGGAAAGTGAATCTGCCAGGGTAAGCAGGGGCTATCCAGAACACTAGGAAATACTGACTTCTCTTCTTGATGGCATGAAAGCTATGTTGGGTAGAGAGAATCAATAAAATTGACCTTTATTTATCAGCGACTTCTGTCCATTTACCTAGATGTCCAGTTTTATATTTAAAAGCAAAGGAAAATATTATCTACATCTCTCACTTAAATTCTGTGAGAATAAAGGAGAACATATTTCTGGATGTGCTTTGAAATCTCTGATAACAGTTTTTAGAGAATCAGGGTTCTTATAAGTTTGTCCCATGCAAACGTTCCCTGTTCTTAACCCCTAACACATAATGTCCTCCTGGATCATCCATGTTTCCACACGTCAAAATCTTATTCTTTTTTTACTTCTGAATAATATTCCATTGTATGTATACCACATTTTCTTCATTCATTCATCCATTAGCAGACACTTACATTGATTCCTATCTTGGCTACTAGAATAGAATGTGCACTCTCTTTGTAAACGCAAAAGTACTATGATGTTTAAATACTATGAGTCTCTAATGGCTAAGAAGTAAAAATAGCTAGTATGTCAAATGTGCCTATCAGATTGTATTTAAGCCATATATAGTGAATAAATAAATAAGAACAAATGCTTCTGTCGATACCCTGTGCCAAGTACTGTTCAAAGTCCTTTATATATACTGTTTATTTAATATTCACACTGCCACCATAGGGTAGCTATAATTAGCATCATTCCCACTTTATAGATGAGGAAACAAAGGCCTAGAACAAGTTAGAAGACTCTCCTCTCAGTGTCCCAGCTAGGAAGAATGGTACCAGGACTCAAAGCCAGGGTACCTGGGCTTAGGTATCTGTGTTCTTACTATTATACATATTCCTTTGCAAGCAGAACAAGACAGTCTTCATACTGGCATTATGTGGAAATCGTTCACATTACTTTTCTCACTAGAAGGAAATTGTTTCTAACTTACAGTAAGATTTAGACACCTTTAGATGTATCCAGATTGGCAAAGTGTAAGCAGTACAAAATATGAGATGAGAAAGAAAGAATGGCAAGACAATGAACTGACATTGTTAGATTTGACTGTGACCTCTATTTCAATGACTTCCAGATTTTTGCCTCTGTGAATGCGGTACTTAAAATGAACACCAAATACCATGTTCTGAGTTTACTATGACCTACAAAGCTGGCATGAATAGTCGGTTGGAGGAAAGTCAATGTGTTGAAATTTCTTGTTTCAGTAGAATCAATTGTTTGAGTAGTTTGCTGATACTTCAAAGTGACTCAAGATTTTTCTATAGAAAAAAAAAACATTTGATACCATTGAACTTTTCAGTATTTTGGAAATTTCCTTTTGGAAGCAAAAAGTAATCTTCCAAACTAAGTATATTATGAGCTCACAGGATAGAAGTCAGTGACCTACACTTTGAGTAGATGGTAAAAGTGTAAAAGCTCTTCTCTGAGTCCATGTCAACTTGTGCCTGATAAGAATGAGCTACAAAAATACACGCACTGAGTATTCAGTCCTATCTAAGGTCAAGCACTTGATTATTCTCATATTTCACACTTACGTTGCACTCTTAAAAGCCTTTATTGTAATACAAATAAGATTGTCTGTTATCTTAAACACTACCAACAATGATAGTGGACAGCAGCTACTACTAATATAGGTTTGTACAGACCTTGGTGGCCTCAATGTGTTGGTACCCATTTAGATAAAATGAGGTGCATAAACCTCTCTGCCTCTCTCTTTCAGACTCACAGTTTCCCATCAACATTGTGGCTGTCAAGAATGATCATGATTTTCTTGAAAAGGACCTTGTAGAACCTCTTTGCAGGTAAATCTTGTGAATTATACTTGTTTGTTTCCATCGTTCATTCTCAAAAGGCATCACTATATTGAGGAATGAGTTCAACAATTAGATAACTATTTTCTGAGTGCCTGTTCTATGCTAGACACGGGTTCAAGTTCTAAATATACTACAATGAGCATGATCAATTTGTGTTTCATAGAGCTTAAATCTTACTAGGGGCTTTAAACTTCAGACAATGGATTAGGAAAAAGAGAGGAGAGAAAAAGAGAGGGAGACAGATTATTTCAGAGAGTGTGAATGCTTAAAAGAAAAAAAAATACTGAAGACACAGTCAATGACTAGGGAATTAGGATGGGATAGTGGGAGGAAGGCTGTGAAGAAGTCCAGTATGTCATATTTGGCTGTAGTTTTTGCAAAGTCAGATGATTATATTCTCAAACTAGAATATGTATGCTCAAATAGTTATATAAGCAAACTGACATATTTAAGCTTTTGCTGTGTGACAGATGCTATCAGGAGACAAATATGTGAATAATTCTTTCCCCTTAAAACCATTGATAGTCTGATTGGAGAAACCTAGTTGAAGACACGAGACATGAATACATGAGCAAGCAAGCAACAAGTATAATTTAGTAATAGTAATACAGCCAGTGGAATCTATATCTCTAAACAGTTAAATGCTGTACGAAAAGTGATAGGTGTCTGTAGGAATTTGAAGTTTCCTAGTTAAATATCTGGGGAGAAGTCAGAGCTGGAGATAAATATTAGTTACGGAGGTGAGCCATTTTAGCAAGGCCATACAGCTCGTATGGGACAAAATGACCTTAAAACTGAGTACTCATAACTTTCAGGTCCATCTCCTTTATAGTATATTTGACATAGAAAAGGTGGTAGTTTAATGAGAAATAAATGATGGGTAAAATTTTGTCAATAGGGGACCAGCAGTTAGCGTAATGACTATGTCGCTGGACTCCCACGTAGTCGACCGCGGTTCGCGTCCCAGACCCGGTGGCTTAAAACTCACGCCAGGCGTGTGTGTGTGCATGCCCAAGATCCCGAGAGGAGAATGGAGGAGAAGGGATTGCAGCGTGGCCATCCCCCCTGGGGGGTGATTTCTTGCTTTCTGTCTCTCTGTCTCTCTCTTGTCTGTCTGGCGAGCGCACACGCCCTATAGCAAAAACCTCTTCAAAAAAAAATTTTTGTCAATATTGGAGAGACCATTGTATGTTAGAATGTTATGTTAATAGTCTAATTTTAGGCTTCCTGAATCTTCAGAAGTATTGGATGTGTGTGTGTGTGTGTGTATGTGTGTGTGTGTGTGTGTGTCGTCAAGCCAGTCACTCTATGGTTTCTATATGAAGAGAAAATATATTTGTGTTAAGAAATTATCTCTTGAGACCAGCAGTTAGCATAATGGCTATGTCGCTGGACTCCCACGTAGTCGACCGCGGTTCGCGTCCCAGACCCGGTGGCTTAAAACTCACGCCAGGCGTGTGTGTGTGCATGCCCAAGATCCCGAGAGGAGAATGGAGGAGAAGGGATTGCAGCGTGACCATCCCCCCCTGGGGGGTGATTTCTTGCTTTCTGTCTCTATGTCTCTCTCTGTCTGGCGAGCGCACACACCCTACAGCAAAAACCTCTCCAAAAAAAAAAAAAAAAACTAAAAATAAAAAAGAAACTATCTCTAACTGTCCAAGAAAACAACATCATGAGTTCACTTAAGTGGGGAGTAGAGTGAATAGCTCTTGAAATCATAAATCACAGGAATAGTCTGTTTGGACTAGAAAATATGCAAGCACAAAATGCCATTTATGAGGAAATGTAAGATGAATGAATGATACTGTTGTGATTCTTTAACAGTAATGGGTTGGGAAAGCAGTGTTTCCTCCCTTTATGCCAGGGTTCACACCACACAGGAGGTTTCTCCGGCTGAGCATTAATTCCACTTAGAACTATTCATCCACTACCTCTCACTGAGTTTTCCTTCTGAGGTTTAACCAAGTGTATTTTTGCTTATTGGCATGTTTAAAAAGAAGTCATTTTTATTTTAAAAAATATAAAATATTTTTTCCTATTGAATTTTTGAATGTTTATTTTCTGTAAATTGAGATATAATGTTTTTACTGATGGTCCCCAATTTACAACAGTTCAACTTACAAGTTTCAACTTTGCAATGTGTTTCACAGGATAAAAGCCCTATTATAAGTGAAGGAGCATTTGTATAAAGTCCAATTCACTGTTTTCAGCATATAGATTTTTGAGTTTGACAAATGCCTACAGTCATGTAGCTGCCACCACAATTAAGAGGTAGAACATTTTCACTCCATCACCCTCCAAAATTTCCTGGTTCTATGTCATCAACTTTTACTCCCAGTTTTCCAATCTCTGATAGTTACTGGTTTGTTTTTGTACCTTTAGTTTTACCCTTTCCAGAATGTCATAAAATGAAATGAGACAGTATGTAGACTGTTTAGGCTTTTTTCACTTGCTTTAATACATTTAAGATTTATTCATGTTGTATTTCAATAGTTCATTCTTTTCTGTTACTGAACAATATTTCATTGTATGGATGCACTGAGATTTGTTAATCCAGTTAAAGGATACTTGGATCATTGCCACTTTGGGTGATTATAAAGTCACACTGAATATTCACATTCAAGTTTTTATGTGAACATAAGTTTCCGTTTCTTTTAGGTAAAATTATAGGAATAGGATAGTGTAGTCCTTATAATAAGACTATTTTAACTTTATAAGAAACCACCAAGCTTTTCCAGCATTTGCTAGTCCCACCAGCAATATACAGCATAAAAGTTCCAATCGCTTCACATTTTTATCAACATTTCATATTGTCAGGTTTTATTTTGTTTTGATTTTAGATATATTAACAATTTTCTAGTGTTATCTCATTGTGGTCTTTTAAAGCTTGTTTCTTTCTTTATTTCGTGAAAGACAGACAGAGAGAGAGAGAGAGAGAGGCAGAGAGAGAGAGACAGGCACCCCCAACAAGGTCCTCACACTGCCTTATCCATCTCTACCTTCAGCCAGCCTGAATCACAGACATGCCCCTCATTGTGAACCTGGGACCTTTCCATGTGGGTCCACTTGTGTTACTACTGTGCCACAGCCTGACCCTTCACTAAGATTTTAATTTGTGTTTTCTTAATGACTAATAATGTTAAACATCTTTTCATGGGCTTATTTGACATCCATGCATATAACTTGTTTTGTAAAATGTCTAATCTTTCACCAATTTTTAATTGGAATGATTTTTTAATTACTGAGTTTTGAGAGTTTTTATATACTCCAGATATAAGTACTTTGTCAGATATGTTGTTTTGAAAATATTTTCTGCCAGTTCATTACTTGTCTTTTTAACTTTCCCAGAATAATTGTTTTAGTTTTGCTGAAGTTCTTTTTTTTTTTGTGAACTTTTCATGTAATATCTAAGAAATCTTTGCCTAACATAATGTCACAACTATTTTATCCTGTTTTCATCTAGAAATTTAATAGGTTTATGTTTTAGGTTTATAATTGATCTATAATTCAATTTGTGTTCCTAATTATATAAGGTAGAAGATGTGGGTCAGGACTCATTGATTCATTTTCATGGGGCCAAATGGTGATACAGTGATAAATTTCAAAGCTCTGTGAGGCAATACCACATGTGAAGGTTCACAGTTCAAGTCAGGGACTTCCCTAGGTATGTTGAGATTGCACATGCCCGTGATCCAGGACCAGAAGGGTTGGGTGTAGATCATGACACTAGGGCCCTGTTAAGTGTGTTTTCTCCCTCCCTTTCTCTCTCTGTCTCTCTTACTAATGGGAAAAATAAATAAATAAGCTTTAAAATTTTTTTTGCATTTTAATGTCTAGTTGTTTCAGTCCCATATTGAAAAGATTATACTCTCTTTATTGAATTTTTATGGACCATGTATGTGTGTCTATTTCTAGACTTGCTATTCCGTTCTATTTATCTTTGTGTTTGTCCTTTCATCATTCTGATACTTTCTTGATTACTTGGCTTTGGGTAAGTATCAGAGTCCAATAGTGTACATCCTCCCATTTTGCTCTTCTTTGTCAGGATAGTTTTGACTCTTCTAGTCCCTCTACATTGCCACTAAATTTTAGAAAAAGCTTATGAATATCTATTTTAAAAATCCTACTAGGGTTTGATTTGGATCGTGTTGAATCTATATTATCACTTTGGAGAGAATCATTATCTTAACAATATTTAATCTTCCTATTCATAAATGTAGTGTATGCCTCTATTTATGTCACCTTTGATTTATTTCAACAGTGATTTGTAGTTTGCAGCATATGGATGGTTTGCATATTTGATAGTACCTAAGAATTTCATGTGAGTGATACTATTATAAATGATAGGGTTTTTTTGTCATTGCAATTTCTAGCAATCTTCTTAATTTACTCATTAGTCAAAGTAGATTTATTATAGTTTTCTTAGCATTTTATTTCTGAAGTGTTAATAAAAGATTACATTTTTTAAACCAAGAATTAAAATTCTATTACATGCTTTTAAATCAAGATTGCAGGGGTAAATGTCATCTCTTTTGCAGTTCTGTTCATGGGATAATGTATGTGGAATTGAATCTCGAATGTGTGGATGGTAAATCCATATCTACTCACTGCTGCATGGGATCTGAGATACCTTAAACTAAGTTATGGGCTTTTCCATCAACGTCTATGCAACAACAACAAAAAAAAAATAGAAGGAAAGAAGCTTTCAGACAATATAAAATGTAGAGATGCACCCATACAATTAATGTGAAATGACTTAAAGATATGATGTTATGAATAGTAATACTAGTGTCTGCCAGAGAAACCAGTAAATCTTTTTTTCTAGGGCACATGACCTGTCATGATGCAGCCTTTAGTAGGCTCTATATCTAAGTACCCCAAAAGACAACACCATATCAACATAGGGAAGGGCTACTATGCTAGACACCCAAAGATCTTGTCTGGGTCTAGCTTATGTAAAACTGGTTGGGACTAGCAGATGACATAAT